AAAAAAAAGCATTTATTAAATAGGGATTGATAAGAAATTAACTTTTGCCTGGATATGGCATTTCTAAAATACACATTTTGGAAAAATAATATTCATATTCTATGAAAGAGTTCCTCTTTGCATTTTAAAAAGTCATCCTCTTGCTTTATCACTCTGGCCCTACATCTAGATTCTGGGTTCCCTGCTGGAGCCTCTGTGCTGTTAAGTAAGTATGCTCTAGTTCAGTTTTGTAATGAGTTATGAGTTGGATAAGTTGGAACTCTGTGCATGCTTATAGGTTTTTCATATCATTTCACTTCTCTTGATACACATAGAGATTATGCATTCGGAATGTTAGATTAAAATTTTTTTTTAAAGGCTAGAACTCAGAGTCTGTTAATGATGTTGACCACATCATCTTTTTCGGTTGAATGGCTAATTGATGACGTGTCATAGTTTGCGTCTAAAGTTTTCCTCCGTTACTGCCACTTCTGAGTAATCACATGCTTTTGCATTTGTATGATGACCCTATAAAACTTACTTTTCACGACCCTGAGAACAACCCTTATTCGCTCCCACACCACTTAGCGATCCCACTAATGTCTAGCTTCACTTCTTGTCTTAGTCTGTTTTTTGTTCCAGGGCTAAGCCACAGGGTAGTTCTTCTGGGTCCCAGACTTCTGGGTCCCAGATTGTTGTGGCTATGGGACTGGAGAGTAAGTGAGCTTCTTGGTTGTTTCTCGTTTGTCTCGCAATTCTGGTATGATTTGCCTGTCTCACCTCACTACCCACAGAGGTCTTCTAAAATGATGTGCGCAGGCCAGAGACTTAAGGTGGTTTAAACAGACATTAGTCCATAGAAGTACGAAAGGGCCAGAACCTTGGACTTGTGAGCCTCTTAATGAATTGGTTTTTCTCCATAACAGCAGGAAGTCATTGGAAGTATTTATTTATTTTTAAAGAAGGGGAAGGACTGTAGATTTGCATTTCAAAAAGTCATGCTTTGTCACTCTGACCCTATATCTAGATTCTCAGTTCCCCACTAGATGCTGTTCAGTAAGGTAACCACTAGCCACATGTGGCCGTTGAGCATTCCCAGTGTGGCTAGTCCAAACTAATGTGTTCTGGAAGTGTAAGATAAATACTGTATTTTAAAGATTTACATGAAAAAAGAATATAAAATGCCACATTAATTTCATATCCATTTCATATTGAAATATTTTGTATATACTGACTTAAACATCATGTGTATGTTTTTAAATTGTAAATGCTATGTTATTAAAATGAATTTCACCTGTTAGTTTTACTTTTTAATGTGGCTACCAGGGAATTTAAAATTACATAGAAGTATATTTCCATTATATTTCCATTGAACTGTGTGGCCGTCCCCGCTGCCTCATGCCGATAGTGAGTCTGGGCTTAAAGGGTCTCAAATCCCATCATCTGCAAGTGGGAGAGGGAAGCAGAGGTGAGGTGTCCCCCCCAGACCTTCCACCAGAACCTTACTGGTGATTGGGAATCAGGGAGGAAGGCTTGTTTGGGGGGCATTTTTAATACATCTTTCATTAGAAATATATGGATACCTTTTGAGGGTCCAATGGTCTCTCGCTCCCTCAAACATGTATCTCTGGGAGCTTAAGGAGGTTGTGATACGTGGAACACATGACTTGTTCTTAAAGGGGGATCTAGAGTGGGGCGCCTGGGTGGCTCAGTCGGTTAAGCGTCCAACTTTGGCTCAGGTCAGGATCTCACATTTTGTGAGCTCAAGCCCCATGTCAGGCTTTGTGCTGACAGCTTGGAGCCTACAGCCTGCAGCCTGCTTCGGATTCTGTGTCTTCCTCTCTCTCTGCCCCTTTCCACTTGCGCTCTCTCTCTCTCTCTCTCTCTCTCTCTCGCTGTCTCTCAAAAATAAATAAACATTTAAATATTTTTTTTAAAAGGGGGATCTAGGGAGAGAGAAAGGCTTGTGGAATACTTTTAGCAACTTAGAAACCGACAATGTTGATGATGCTAATACCAGCTAACTTTTACTGAGCATCAACCAGGTGCTAAGCTACCTTGCTAAGTGCTTGCTCTCGTTTTACCCTTATGATGCCTCTGGGGAAGAATCTGGAGAAGAATCTTGCTAAATTGCACCATTTAAGGAGAACAAGTGAAAGAACGCCATCCAGCCATCCATCCGTGGAGGAGGAGCAGTGGCCAGAGACCTAGGAACAGAACTAGGAGCTGTCATGTGCAGGAAGTCAGGCCAGGTTAATTTCTACATGAAGGAAATGATAAGTCCAAGTGTGATGTGGACCAAAAGGGCTGAAGTATAAGTTTTGACAGTGCAAAAGCTTGGCTCTTGCAAAATGAACACACATCAAACATTTTATTCAGTTCATTAATGAATGAGGTGACCTGGAAGATGCTAAAACTGGTTCAGATTGACCAGAAGAGATTTAAATTCCTTTCCCCACAGAGTTCATGTGCAGGGCTACGAAAGGGACCCATCTGACTGGCATTGCATGGGACAGGAAACATTTGCACTGCTATCCGATGTCTACATCATCTACCCTTACAGAGCTGTAAAATAGCCCAGTCAGTAGCAGCCGCAAGTTACTCGGAAGATACACCCTGTAGAATCAGATCTTTTCCCCTCCTGCCCCGGCTCTCAAAAA